ATGCTGGGCTGTGCGCGCTGAAGATGAGCGAAGACTGGAGGTCTTTGACCATATGTGCCTGAGGACGATCCTACGAGTTAAGTACATATAGCGACTTCATCTCGAATGAGACAGTCCGCACCCGCTGCGATCGTTTCGCGAGGATATCCCATACCATTGAAGAAAGGCGACTGAGGTGGTTTGGACAAGTTCACCATCGTCCACCCCACGAGCTTAGATATGATGCCCTCGATCCGGCACTGCAGCCCACCTGGAAGCGTCGAAGAGCAGGGCAACTGAAGACTTGACTCGACACCGTCCGTCAAGACAGGGAGGCAATTCTTGGACCTTCTATCCTCGGTCTCCGTCGCTGGAAAAGAGACTGGGTAGAGCTCTCCAGATGCGCTGTCGCCAATCGTCACGCATGGAGAGGTACCGTCCGTGACATCATTGAGGCCGGCTAGATCGGGCATGATCACAGCCGTGACAAATACAGGTACAAGTTACGGCGTTTAGCGCACGACAAATTTTCTCTGTGAGGAATATGCCCTAAGTGCCGTGGGGGGGTGGCGTCGACTTCACTCTCTCTTTCCCATTCCTGGCATCAGTCCACTGGTTCAACCAGGCAGCCATCCATCTGATGCAGGGATTGGAAGCAGTTGGCTAGCATACCTCAATAGCCAGCCCACGTGTGTCACAAAAGACCCCCCTTTCCGTACAGCATATCGTATTTAGACACAAAGCTGCTTTTGCGCCTTAATAAATGCCCTAATAAAGCCACTAGAAATAGACCTAGAACAGTTTTTCACTGCTATCTGTAAGACACAAATGGGGAGAGGGCAACGATTGACGTATCGGTGAATTGCCAGTATAAGTGAACATACGATTCCCGGGAAGCAATTGAGAAGAAGGTTCGATTGCTGGGACAGCACTTTTATTCGCCTGACGTTTCGACATCCGTCACGGATTCTTCCTCAGAGACACGAGCAGAAAGTACCAGCAGAAGTTTCTTGCCGTGGCAGTGGATATTATGGTTTCATTATCTGACGCATTATGGTTGCCTCCGTCCACAGCAAGAAACATCTGGAGTCATCTATAGGATCTGGTGCAGCTGCGGACAAAACAACTACGTCGGCGAAGCTGGTAAACTTCTCAAGACGCGAATTGCCGAACACGCGGCAGCAGTTCGGCGAAATGACGCCAGTTCTCAAGTTGCAGCTCATTCGACGGGAGCCAGCCACACATTCAAAATTTATGAGGCCGTAATTCTAGCAAGAGTTGACAATCATGTGAGCCGAGAATTACTGGAATTATGGTTCACGGGCCGCCAATCCATAAACAAGTGCAACGATTTGCCTAATCCATATTCGGTACTGAGACTCAATTTGGCCAAAGCAAGTCGCCACTTGGAGAACGCACAGGCCAACGCATCGTCTTACGCCAACACCGAGGAAACAGAGGCCGAGCAATCATCAATTCATCCAAATCATCCAATTCCACCACGCGTGATGAAAGTTCAGCAAGCCAGGGCCCACATGCCGGTAATGAAGCAACCAACACAGAACAGAGCAATTATCGTTAATTGTCGTTATTCGCCATACGTGTGTAGTAATGACTCTGTCCTATGCATACTGCGACCGCCTGTGCGCGTGTTACCTGCTTTTGCTACTGCTTTCTGCTCATGTATCTGCTGAAAACCCCCCTTTGGATGTCGAAACTTTAGACGAATAAAGTTGTTGTCCGAGCGACCGAATTTCCTTTCCCATATCTGTGAAGCCTGTAGGCCTGCTGTCATACGCCCATGTATTCCATCTCATTAGAGTAAAATACAGCCGGCAATGGAACCATCTAGCTGCGAGACATCACTTAAACCACACGCTCTGGTTGTGCTCGGTTCCACTTCCCTCCAGTTCGTCGTATTTTGCACACCCATATCGTAAGCACTACCAGTTGTGCAGTTGACGAGTAATCTTCGTGAGCTGAAGCACGCGGCCTAGGAGTATTGACATTTAACCACCACTCCAAATCTGCTTTGAACTTTAGTTAGTCATTGTCATCAGCTGAGCTTGTTTTTTTATCAAGAACCCCAGAACAATGAAAACCTAAACTGTTTGCCGCTGTCTCCTACCTTGTTGAGCGTGCTTATCAGTTAAACTCACGCGTATAAATTATTCAACAACGCGCTGCCCCTTTTCGTTTCGTCGCGACTACCCCAAGGTAGAGCGGTCTGTATTGTTCACCCGCTGTTTAATGCGAAAATTTGGTTTGGTCCACGCAGACAAGGTCGCGCAAGGCTGCACCAATCGGAAATGCGCTAAGCGCGAGAAAGTGCAGTAAAACAACCCGTCCTCCTACCTTTTTGTCATTTTCTGCCAGCTGCTTCTCCAAGCGCTCCACTTTGGCCTTCTGTTTGGCCACCTGATTCATCAGGGTTTGGACCGCTGCGGTGCCATCCAAACCGCTCTCCATGGAGGAGCCGGCCTCTGCGCCGCTGGCAGCTGGTCCGCTGGCCCCCGCGCCTGGGGACAGCGGGGATATCGGTGGTGCCGAGGTATACGTGCCCACGAGGTTGGCCTGCATTTCATTGAGCAGGGACTGAGCAGTAGCCAACTCCTCTCGCAGCTTTACACCCGTTTGACAGCGGGAGAAGTATGCTGCCTTGGACTTGAAGAGGGCACTCTCCGCGTCCACCATGCGTTTGACATCGGCCTTCCATTTGGTTTTGAGGAATTTCCGAGTCTTTGTAAATTCGGTCCGTTGGCGGTTGAGAACCTAGTTCGGGAAGAGGGAGTGGCCAGCACTTTAAACATGTGCCGGGGCTACGTATAAACTGGGGCCGAACAGGTCCCACCTTAAAATCGATTTTCAATAGGCTCCGAGGAGGAGCTGTTTCAAAGTAGGCTTCGTTTAGAACTAATATAGATTTTCTTAGAATAGAGGCGTCTTTGATGTTATTTTCCGTTAATTTCCGTAGATTGCTTCGAGTAGCCTGAAAGTCCGCTGGTTGGTTACTAAGCCACGAAGACTACAAATGTCAATTTGATTTGTTTTCGATAGATTTTGGCAAAAAAAGGCAAAACTGTGCAAGTAAGGGATTTAATAAATTAGACGCCTTCGGATGAACACCGGTTACATTATTTTGACCTGATAAAATACGCTCGCAGTTTCCCTAAATTGAAGATCTGCTTTTAAGTGAACTACTGCTGCTGCTGGTTGTCTATAAAAATGCAGCAATCAATTACCTGTAGACCATTAGTGCCAGCAGTTATTTTAATCGGTACTTGATGAGAAATTACAACTTGGATGTAATGCTGCTTCAGGACCTTGAAATCAGCTGGAAGGGCTTTACTCTCGCTGCTTCCGCCAGAAAGTAACTAGATTTTAAAAAATGGGTCTCGAAGCATACTACAATGCGACCATAGAAAGTTTTAAGGAGACTGCTCTTAGTGAATAAGTCCATCGGGAATTCAGTCGAAGTGCAGTGGTGCAGAAAAAGGCTTTCAGCAAACCTCCTACCAGCGGTTTCACCTGCATCCAAATTCTGAACGCTAAACCGTAAGTTACAGATTGGGAGATTTGCCTAAGGGATTCTTAAATGATTTAGGCAAAATGGAAATTTGCAAGCTCCTTCAATAATGATTGTGTCCTGCAACCTAGTCTATGGAACTGATGTCCGTCGGTCTGAATTATATGGAAGATCTATGCAGCAGATGACATTTCAGAGGGAATATCATCATAATTAGCCAAAATACTCGCAGGTTTAATTTGCACAACACTTTAATCTTGGAGGATGCCATCAGAATAGAAGCAGCCCTTAACTGTGCGCAGCATGTCTACACATCAGTTATCTCAAGTAAATCCCTCGCAATTTTTTCTGTATCTCCTAGATAGACAGTAGAAGACACTTTTGACAGCATCGTTGACTTCCTATCAGGCGAAAACTGTTGTCATTGTAAACAGCCCGGTATGTCCGTAGTTTGCCGTCTGGACGTGGATGTGTAGGAGTTAGCATACGGCTGCTGATTAAGGTATTGCAACTGGATCGGCGTTAATTATCGCAAATTCCTCAAGAGAAAGGTCAGCACCACAGAAGGCGTTTCGTCAGAAGCGAAACGTTATATTTATCGTGTCTCGGTACCGCATAGGTACTTATTTAAACTAGAGCTTATTTGGAATACAGAAGTGGTCGGGAGGATGAAAACCTCAACTGAAAGGAGCAACTCTTTCTACCGTGTTAACAAATAGATCCAGTACTTTGAATATTCTTCATCTTAAAACCCTCTATAAGTAATTGATAAAATGCGTCCATAAACTGACCCAGGAAGGCTCTGCAAACGTCAAATAACATCACCGTAAATTAAAACTTATTAGTACAAGTACTGTCATCGTCTGCTGCTTGGGCAGCAGGTCGAGGCCAACAATTTGAAGTACGTGCGATTAACGTTACTTTTACATATGTTGTGAAGCTTATATCCATATCTGCACGTTCTTTTTAATGCTTTTTACACACTGACACTTTTTTAAAAGCTCTTTATAATTTTTTACAAAACGTTCAAGGCTCAATTTTATTCCTCTAGTTCAGATGTGTCTAAATAGAAATGATCTTCAAATTCTGATTTCTAGAAACGAGCACTTTCATCTAAGGAAACTGCAAATTAGATCTCTGATGCCGATGGTGAAGGCGTCGTCCACGACGCAAAGGTTTCTCGCTGGTACAGGCCTTTTTAACTTTGGCGATATTAATTTAGAAGACGAAACACGTCTCATTTGACCCACAGAATTGATCGAGGCACAAACCAATCGACACGTTGAAATTTGCCACCAATTGTTTTAGAACCCTAGAAAGGATTGGTTCTGAAAGCGCAGTTTGACGTCTGATGAGGAAACTTGTCTGGTCGATCACAACCGACAAAAGCAATAGGGTTCAAGAGGTCAGGCTCCTCCATCAGTCCGAGGTCAAGGGCGGTTCAACGAGAAATTATGATCTGTATTTAGTAAAATTTTGGAGGTGAGCTTTCCTTGGAATTTGTTCCGAATGTCCATGCCGTCAACTCCACTCCCTACTGCCCATAACTGGCCTTAGCCTATGACAAGCTTAAAAAGAAGCACCTGGTATTGATGCGTCGAAAACGGTCTCTGTTCCATTGGGACAATTCCAAATACCTTACGGCAAAGAGACCCAGAACAAGTTCGAAGAATTGGATGGGACCGGCGTTCATCCGCATCCGGTCTACATATTCAATGCCGCACCATCTTTTGATCAATGCGGCCTTCCTTTTGAGGTCGTCAATTCAAGTAGTTGGAGAAAGTTAAAGAAGCATGCAAAGAGTTCTTTGAATCAAAGCCCAAAAATGTTATTTTAATCAGACCCAGATGACTGCAGATCGGTGACAGGAAATTGTTGAGAATGAAGGACTTTATTTTGAAGAATATTTTATAATGTTTATGTTGCTACAAGTAAAGTATTGATTTGTTTACTAAATGTGTGCATAAATATCTAGTCTCTTTGCAAGTAGTACAGAACTTTCGTCCCAACTTTATAAATGAAAGTGGTATTTCTATCGGTAGTTTTTTTTTGAAATAAATTTCTTCTGACAGATGGCAGACCGTCTGCTTCAACCAAAATTATTTTTGTGGCACATTCGCGACCATTTTGTTTCAGAGAATGAGCAGTTATGACTTGACAATCAAGATATTGCCATCATCACAGCTGAATGGGTGGGAGACAGCGATTTGTCTAAAAGACTGACACTTTCCTGATTTTTGAAAAAAGAACGTGATAGAAACGGGGAGGAAAGAAAACTGGACCTACTTCAAGAAGTTCTCGACAGCGTTTCGTGTTGTGGAGTTCTATCTCCTTCGCCTGTTCGATCATCTAGATTGGCAAGTAAAAGTATAGTGGTTAAGTATTCATTAATTTTAAAGGCATACGGTATTATGAGAAGTTCTTTTGTGTGGCTTTCACTTGGGTATCAAGGGGGACAACGAGAGGTGGCCTATTATTCATTAGTAACGGCCCTTGGTGGAATTATAAAGGCCTGTTCCATTTCTATTTGGGGGCCAGTGGAAAGCAGGTGGAGATTTAATAATTCTGTCCTCGTCATGATTGAGCAGATACATTTGACATTAATCAACCAAAAATCCACGTAGAATCGGCGTATTTTTCAGTAATTTACTAAATTTAAAACCACACAACAAAGGCTGCTATCGAAAATCCCCCAAAATATCCGCTCTCCTTCAAACTGTGCAGCTTGATGGCGCTTATAGCCGCAGATTGACCATAAAAAACTGAATTCCCGGAGGGCTTTTCACGATAAGTTCATAGTGACATTTCCATCATCGGCCCAACCACTTTTATTAGATCCCGGTCGTTTTCGGAGCCGCTCCGCCAGAGTGGTCAGTAACAAAACATGTTGGCAACTTCCTGTTTCGAGTCCTATCGCTGGAGTGCAAAACTTGTCTACTTTAACAGAAACTAGCAAGTAGAACCCACAGGTTTCACAGGCAAACGGGAAAGTACATATCTGGTTGGCCGAGCAATTTGTCGACTTTGCGCGCCATCCGCAAGATAAAGGTTACCTTCGCGACATTTTCGCCGCGGCTTCTTAAGTGGGGAAATCTTTTTGCCTTGCCCTTTCGGAGGATAACTTTTTTTAGCTGCAGTCTTGCACATATGGGGTCTTAAATGAAGAGACCTAGTTAGACGCAAATATATATGTTCACATATGAATACGCTTGTCTGGTAGTTATATGAAATATTAATAATGGAGTATTCAGAGCATGTAAAATACATGATTTCTCAAGGACAACCCCGACAGTCAACTGAAAATGGCAGTCGAAAAGCTGCGTGAATTTCCGATTCATCCAGAACCGGATAGTGGCATACTAAGTTAATAAAGTTGCACTATAATTATATCTCGCAACCTTCTGATTAGAGTCATGTACATGCATCGATTATTGTACTTCAGAGCAGTGTCTAACCAGTTTAGATGTCATTCAGATCCCAATTTTAGGCAGCCACATGTGCGAAAGTTTAGGCAGTGGGTAGTGTGTTTTGAGATTTGATGAATGCTGCTTTACTGCTTCTCCTCCTACATGCAAAGATTTGATAAAAATTAAGGACAAACTAAGTTATATGGTAGGGGTCATCGGGTAAACGTCGGCAAATCATTCCACTTTCCTGCGTCAGCGGATACCTGCGACGGCAGGGGCTGTCGTCCTACGGTTAACCAACCCTATGTTATGCTCGTTTGTACAGGCACTAAGGCTTCCATGGCCGAAGACCAACTGAACAGGCGTCCATTCGCTGCCTCCCACGCCGCGAGACGGAGACTATACAGCGACGGCATGCATCT